TGGAATCCAAATGGGAAACGATGAGTTAGGCGTGCGAGGTGAGGTTGACATGGAAGAGACTATGTGAGGAAGAAATGAGAGCTTGTGGGCAGTTGTGGAGTGAGGTTCAAAAGACTGCGGAGAAGAGAGTGAACTGGAGACGTGTTACTGAAGCCCTATGTTCCACAAGGATCCCAAGGGACAAATAAATATACAATAACATAGATAGTAGGTAAGAAATATAATACGTTTTGTCCGGTCCTATTATAGAAATGGATATACTTTTAAGAAAGTCAACAAAATACGAAACAGTTTGAAAGAAAAAGATCTTTTTTTCATTTGAAAATAGCTTCATGCAAAACAAATATTGGAACGGACTATACACGTTTCAGTCTATACTGAGAACGCCTAGGTAAACACAATCTCACCATGATATTGCTTACAACTCAGTAGCCCGGATTTCAGCACACCAACAATCCCATAAACTATGAAGGAGTACTTTACACTTGTCACTAAAAATAAATTGTAAATAATCAAAACAGTAAGATGACAGTAACATAAAATATACGTATTCATACAGAAGTTGTATGAATGCAATAGTATTGATACAGAGACCTAAGGTGAAAAATTTCGAAAGACTGGTTTAGGTGTGTCGAATGATTTGAAAACAGCTAGAAACGACAGAATCCTACTGAGTTCTTTCTCCTTCTGTTTAATGATGACTTATATTTACACAGAGCACTATACAAACAATTCCCATCCACATATGTATGCATTAACACACCAATGGATGTATGAACGAACGAAACACACTCAGCAACTTCGTGCATATTCGTGCAAAAGGCAACGAACCACACTTATTGTGCAAGGGCTAGTGATGCTACTTGGCTGCCCAAACCACGGTAAGTAGGGCGGGGTTCGAACCCCTGTTTGAAAGTCATCTCCCTAAACCACTAAGCCACAGCTCCACCAATGGATACATATTACCTCGGTGATCCATATATCAGGTGATCATTAATGGTCTTAAAAATTCTGCATTTAACTAATCAATACTTGTGTTATGTGTGCGCACCTCTGAAGAATCTCATACTAGGAGGAAACAGCTGTTCAGTGCTCCCAGGTTTCCAGTATTTCTGCAACTGATGTCAGTCCATGATGAATACCAACTTGAAATCACAAATCTCCACAAACCCCCAAAGTGAATCGAAAAATCCTGAGACGAAGTATACTCGAATGTTAAATGCTTATCAATCTACCCACTAATTACGACGTCACAGTTACAAACCCATTTTCATTCAACTAAGATTATGAGACCAGTGGACAGTGTATACGAATACTGAATACACACATAAGCAGAAAATCGAACCTACTTCAATCACACAAGGAGATTCATGCACTCAATAGTTAAACTGAGTTAGTGTAGCACTAACGACTACAGAACAGGCTATCGAGAAACCCTGATCTCATAGTTCATAAACTTTAGTCTAGACGACTGAACCAAATGATTGACTATCAGTTTAAAGTATGAAGTAGAAATGACTAGATACATGATTAGATACAATGCTCTTCAAAACTGATGTCAATGAAGAGACAAGAAAATTCCGACTATTATACATCATTACAACTAAAATAAGCTGACGAGAGAGACAATGTATAATGTAGTTGAATAAAGTGTATTTATCTGTGAACAAGTTGTGATGAGTAAAACAATAAGAAAATATTCCAGCCAATGTTTTTAAAAAGGAAGTAAAGATTTATTGTGTATGAAATTGACATTCATACTTATTGTCATCACTAATAATTTCGAAACCTAGTTTTGCAAGCATTAAAGAAAATAATGGTGTTCAACAATGAAATCTAATCTATTTGTTTCTGTTTAGTTTTCAGTACCCGATTATCTTATTCAGTGAGTAATTGGTGTTTTCATCATCGACTGGTATATATAGTGTAATCACAGAGTTTAACTTTTTTTTCACATCTTCCCAACCGTCAACAACGTTCTCTCTCTGTATAAATATAAATGTTTAACTTTGTAGATTGATACACCTTTAACATCATCTGTAAAACCATATTCAACATCCACCAGAAAACCATTTACTCTAATGACATTAACTTAGACAAACGAAGAATAGAAACCTGTTTTGTAGAGGGAAGGTAGTCGACTAGAATGATATCTTTAAGTTGAACAGGATCATGTATTTAAGACTGTGGATGGAATGGACTTATTGCATTTTCAATTTGATAATTCATTTCTAAAATATGCTCTATCATCCAACTCAGTCGTAAATTGAAGCATTACTTGCCCACAGTTTGTATCAAAACTTGGGTGTTACATAACATGATTTCAATAAGATAGATAGCTTACTTGATCTTCACACCTATGTTAGAACGAACATATACAAAGAACTAATTATTCAGTCACAATCATTAGTCTTAGCATTTATGAGGAGTTTTCAGGTAGCCTGTTAGTTAACAGTAGCCTTGAGCATCACTTGATTTTCCAAACACTTATTTGTCTTCTATGGTCAATTAGATAAGTGAAAAGTTATTTAACAGCCTTGAACATACTTATTCTTACTCATTCCTGCATGCAGCAAAGTACTGCCTTTTGCATCCAACCATTTGATTTACGTGGCTTAAGAACAGCAGGTCAAAAATACAATATCCTTCAGGTTTCCTGAATCCACAATTAGCGAAATGTGAGCTGACGTGTTAATGAATACAAAAAGTTTATGGCGAATAGTGTAAAATTTTCCAAAAGTAATGACTAGGAAACTTCTGTTTTGGGTGCATTTGGTAATCTTGGTTTGCATTCCCACTGATAATCAGTTTTCGTCCAAGAAAGGACAGTTAGAAACTTTATCCGAATCTTTGGCTACTTGATAAAGATTGCAACTCTCAACCGCCAATTTTTAGTTTGAAACCCACTCTCCACTGACTGCACACTTTGAACAACTAGGAAATACAATTAGTCCTTAGATGTTAGATGAATTCATAGTCCCTAACATAGTTGTAGTTCATGAGTGTGGTATTGAGGTTTTAAACTTCAGTATTAATATCAGCGGAATATAGACTCAGAAGGAAACATTTTTGACGTTAGAAGTTCAACCTTTTCAATTAGTTAATTCAAATACTGGATCAAAACCTCAAGAAAGGTATTTGGGTTTTGCGTTCCAGACACTTTCAAAGAAAAGTATCCATTGATGGCCGAATAATATCATTCACAATAACCAGACAAGATGGGATTCGCTACTTGTTTATAGTTAATAAAACGAACGCATATTACTTTTACAGAGAAACAAAAGGTTTTCCCTTCACCTTGGAGCAAAAATAAGGTGGTCCGTAAATGATTTAATTCAGGAAGAAACTCCGCAAAGTAATCAAGTTCTTAAAACCACTGGACAGAATAAGAATCTACTGGGTATCATTGACTCGAACGAAAATGCAAAATATCGAATACATGACTTATAAGATAAGCAAGTTAAGCGGGAGAACAGATACTACAAGACGACTTCATAATACCACTAGTCAAGTACGAAAACTGCAACTATTATATTCAGACCTAGTGGGATTATCTTTGGTGTGTATTGAACGACAACTGAAGTTTCATTGTGAGATCCTCAATACACCTGAAGATTCACGTTATTGAATATTGATACGGTGAGTCTTATACTAGGAGGAAACAGCTGTCCAGTGCTCCCAGGTTTTCAATAGTTCTCCAACTGATGTCATTCCGTGATGAATACTACCTTAAATATATACCTTTGTATGGGAGCGCTTACATCGATGTTGATAATGATGACTTACATATAACGCAGATAGATAAGAATAAAGTTACATAAAGTTTTGGTCATGTGGTTCGCTCTGAATACAATATCGATTACTTCTTCATTTTCCTTTAAAGGAGCATCTACTTTCATCCATATAATTTTCTTCCTATGCAATCTCAAAGTCATAACAAAAAAACAAAAACACAAAAAAGAACTACTAAAAATTATTATTATTCTCATTATTTTTTCTTTAAACTGCATGACTGTTATTATGTACTGTTATCCACCGCAGTCAACATTACATTACATTAACAAATTATAGTCCTATCAAGCGACTGGATATTTGACTGCTAAGGAGAATGCATTTTACCTAGAAATTTATCAGAATTAGCATAATGGAATAGGAAAGCACTACAGCTAGTCAAGTACCATAGACCAACGACTTCACTGTTCAAAGCATAAGCTACATTATTAACAAACAAGCACAACTTCCACTTAATTATGCAAATTATGGAGATACAGCACAGTGAATAAATAACTGACAACTGATCGACAAAATCAACATAGAACCTCGCACACAGGTGTATCGCTCAAGTTGCCACACTTCATAGTAGTATACAAAGAGCAGATGGACAGATATTGAACTAGAAAAAGTTACGTAGGAGAATAAACAACCTGAAGATAATGGTTAGTGCAAATATTCAAGCTTTAGATGTCAAGGAGAAATTACATCTGCGCCACTGTGGCCGATTTTCAGCCATGTCAGCAAAGGTCGTCAACCCCTGATTTCTTTCGTCTAGGGGACCTCAACTAGGTAATCTATATCGCCCTAAACGACTCAGACCAAAAGGGACTTCATAGACTGGTGCCATGTCTTAATCTGGGCATCCTGAACCTTCTTCAAACCTAATTCAACTTCACCTAGCATGACGCATAGAGGTGGGCGGTGGCTCGGGATTCAGAGTACACATCCGAGGTTCACAGCTTCATCAATCCACTTGCCTATCTTGCCTAGTACTCTTCGCCTGACCTCAACATTGCTCATACAGTGATTTCACCAAACGTGAGCAATACTACTAAGACATCTGTGATCAAAACCCAGTCATCGCTTCACGTCTTCTAATTTTAAAGATCATTTTTTCACAGTCATATAGCATGACAGAATGGTGAGAGAATAAAAGGTTGGATAAATGAGTAAGGAAAAATGCAACAAAAGTAAATCTTAGGACAAATGAATTTTGTTTCACTAACTTGAAAGAAGAATATTTTCGGCTTTCCAATCAGAGAAGGACAACGATCCCCGCGGAAAAACGACATAATATAGTTAGTTACAACTTCACCATCAGTTGCATACACAACATTGTTGTCTCCATGACTTAGCATAACAAAAACGAAACTATCATACGATGAATGGTTCATTTGAGAAACTGCAAAAGTAATAACAATTTGTAAGGTAACTGAATAAATATGCATTCATAAATTGAATGCGAATAATTTACACATTATTCCTCTTGAACAGGACTTGATTGAAAAAAAACATGTTACCGCGTCACGCTTTTACAAAACCTGTAACAACCTCGTTATATTCCTGTAGTGACTACTCGATGAAACCGGAGTTATATCTATATGTGCGGACGCTCCAACTATAACCTTCAGAATCCACCCTTTGATGGCTCCCCATTTTTCTCAATAAATGGAAAAAATGGTAATATAAGGAAGGTGCATTACAACGTCAAAAATATCTTAAAAAAATTAATAATGCAATGGTCTTAGCTGTTTCCAGCCCGTTCTAGATTCAAATATTCCAATGACCTTTAGTTTCTTCAAGCAATCTGACATTCACACATTGGTCCATGCGCTTTCTCCTGAAACTTCTGAGGAAAACGATTGGTTATAAACGGCTTCAGATATTTCAGGCTTTTTATGCAGATTATAACAATCTTAATCCACACTATTACAAAACCGAAACCATGACTTAGAACTATAATGTTTTCAATGAACGATAGATACTACATATCTACTATTATTATTTGCTCCCTGGGTTCCTAGTGGAACATAGGGCTTCAGTAACACGTCTCCAGTTCACTCTCTTCTCCGCAGTCTTTTGAACCTCACTCCACAACTGCCCACAAGCTCTCATTTCTTCCTCACATAGTCTCTTCCATGTCAACCTCACCTCGCACGCCTAACTCATCGTTTCCCATTTGGATTCCAATCGACGGCCTGACCTGGTGGCGTGATGTCCTCAGTCGGCCTTCTCAGTGTATGCTCAGTCCAATCCACCTCCACTTTCTTCTACATATTTGTTGGGTGATAGGTCCCCCGTTGCTTCGTTCCCAGGGTTTCTCGTTGCTTATTCTTGCCACTTTGGCCATGTGATCTTCAGTACCGAGTGAGCGTAGGCGGCAGCTGTTGATGAAGGTCTGTAGGTTGTTGGAAATGCTTTCCGTGACGCGCCAAGTCTCTGAACCATATAGAAGCACTGACTTGACATTGGTGTTGAAAATCCGAATCTCATTCTTTGTGTTGAGTGCAGTGCAGTAGATCTCCACACTGATTTCAGATTAATGCAGGAAGGTCTGTCTTGCTGTCTTTCCGATCCTGGTTTTGACATCCTCGTCTGTGCTGCCTGCACTTGAGACGATGCCGCCTAGGCAGGTAGGTGAAAGAGACTACTTCCTTCAGATTTCTCCTGTTAATGGTGATTGGTGCTTGTTGTTGATGCTGTTGTTGCTTGGGTATCTTCATCACCTCCGTCTCATCTACATTCACTTGAAGTCCCGTCTTCGCTGCTTCGCCTCTTCTGTCAACTTGTTAGTTTTCGCCTGTAGATCTTCGAGTTTGTGCCACAAGACTTTAGACATAAATCATCATCGACAGCGAAATCCAAAACTTCTTCTGTGGTCTTTTCATCCGTGAAACAGCGTATGCCCATCTTCTCGCTCCTCACGGTTTGCTGCATGATCTAGTCGACTACAATCAGGAAGCTGATGGGTGGTAGTAGGCAGCCTTGTCTTACTCCTGTCTCCTGTTTTCACTTCAAAGGTATCACTGAACTTCCTATTGTGAATTACTTGGCATTACTTGTCTTCATACAGTTGTTGAATGAGGTTGATAAAGATTTGTGGCACTAAAACCGTAGTGTTGAAACAGCTGCCTGACAAATTACTTCTCGGTCGATTCTGTCGAAGGCCTTTTCAAAGTCGATGGAAGTTGAGGCAGAGAGTTGACTGCCATTCTATGCTCTGTTCTATGATGATGCGTAGCGTGGTGTTGCAATTTGATCCGCACATGATTTGTTCTTCCTGAATCCAGCCAACCTGTTCCGGTCGTAATTTTGAATCCAGCGCATCATTTAGTCTCTCCAGGATGATGCGGCATAATATTTTGGTTGGGGTGGACAGGAGTGGAGCGTGATTCCGCGCCAGTTCTTGCAAAGGCTTAGGTCTCCCTTCTTTGGAAGTTTGACAAGGTAGCCCTTCTTCCAATCGCCAGGTACCCTTCCTTCCTTCCTTGCAGACCTTCTGAAGTAGTGGTGTGAGCATGTCCCTGTGTCTGTTCTCAATGCTTCTGGAGGGATTCCATCTGGTCCTGCTGCTTTCCCGCATTTCAGTAGCCTTATGGCGTTTAGGGCCTCGACTTTTGTCGAAGGGCTTGTATTCAGTTGTAGTTCTTTTATTGCTGGTGGTATTTCTGAACGAAGTGCAGGTGGTGGTCGATTCAAGAGCTTCTTGAAGTGATTAGCTCATTGTTTCCTTTGTTTCTCCTCTCTCTTTGGTAACTAAGTTTCATTCACTATCTTTCATTGGTTTCATCTGTGTTCATCTCTCCCCTCCCAGATATTAACCTGGTTATTTAATATAATGTCGTCAAATCTCTCCTACCTGCAGCCTGTTCTGTTTCAGTCGCAAGTGTGTCGTAGAAGTGTCTTTTGTCTTTGTGCGCAATCTTCTTCACTCCTTTGTGCAGTGTAGTGTTTTATAGGCTGTGTTCATTTCCTCTCTTCGTTGTTCATCCCTGCACTGCACTGCATTGTACTGCACTGGTTCATCTTCTGGATTCAGCATCTTCCTTTCCTTGCTCTACCACCTTCCATGTGTCCATTGAGATCCATTCCTTGCCTCGTTTCTTCTTCCTTCCTAACACGGTTATGCAGGTTTCACTCCACATCTCTTTCACAGAGTTCCAGTGTCCTTCCACGCATGTTTCTTCAGAGATGTTGCCTAATGTCTCCCATTTTTTCCTGATGACTGGCTGACGTGAAGATGTCTTTTGTAGTTTGGTCCTTCAGTTTCTGTTCTGAGTGTTCAACTTCAACTGTGGTCTATCACCAACTTCTTTGAAGGCTTTCAAATTGATTTTGAAGGTAGGTTCCTTGCACCAGATAGATAGTGAGTGGTGTGAACCACCTACATCTGCTACCCTTCTTCATCCGATCTTGTGTCCAGTAGGCTGGCTGCATCTCCACTTTCTTCATATTGAGATGAAGTCGATCTGATTTTCAGTGTAATGTGTCCTGGTGTCTAGTGAAGTCCATGTCACTGCCTTGTGAATATCCTTGTGTTTGTACACACTGCCTCCAACCACCAAATCGTTGAATTCGCAGAAGTCTGTAAACAGTTCTCCATTCTCATCATTTCATCATTTCACCGAGTGCTTCTCGACCCATGATGAGTTCTCTTTGTGTGTTGTCCGCCTCCGGTTTAGCATTCATGTCACCCCACCCATTAGAATTTTGATGTCACCATCTGGGCTGGGGTCTTGTTGAGTATTGATTGAAGTTGTCTGTTGAATTCCTCCTTCTTCTCTTCATCTGCATTATTTGTAGGTGCGTAGCGTGGCATTGTATGATTGTGACTTTCCCTCCTTTTGAGTTGAATACACCTTGCTGTCATGATCCTGATCGTGCAGGAGGAGATTGGTTCCCACTGTATGAGAGCCTTCGATGTTCTTGCAGACATCATGATAGCCACTCGGAAACTCAGTGTGCTGTGCTCGTGGTTGTCGTCTGGGTGACAATATCGGAGTAGATTATTGACTCTCCAGTCGACAGTTTGGAGAGTCCACTTCCATTCCATCTGCTTATCTCTCGAAGATTCCCAGCACTCCCATGCCATACCCTCTCATTTCTTTTGCAATCTGGGCAGCCTTGGTAGGTTTGTTCATACATGGTGTGGACATTCCATGTCCCCATGTTTACTTTCGCTTTTATCGAGAGAAGCGAAGACAGATCGGCCGACTGGCTTCCCGAAGGCTTTCACCAACTGGCGTCATCCTGTCTGTCCGATTTCAGCAAGGAATAAGTTTATTGATATTTTTATATTTTCTTTGTCCTTTGAAGTTTCGTTAGCGAGTGGATTCGTTTACGGGGTAGGGTTGCTAGCTCTATGCCCCACCTTCCCTTTTTATCCGGGGTTATGACCGTCTAGTAACTAGTGAAGTATTTAACGAGGAAGGTACTACATAATGAACGAAATTCGTGAAAGGAAACGAATAGTTTGAGGGTAATAAGGTACTTTTTAGAAAGATTTTGTCACTGTGTTGTATCAAATAAACAATTTGATATGGAAGTCTACCTTACCACGGTGCCCAATTTTCGCTCTTAAAGTTAGTTTGAGAATACCATGACTGCGGTAAACTTTGTGGCAAACCACCTGGGGCCTTAAGCTGCTGGCTTTTGTTATCACATGCATCAAGGGTGGTGTTTCCTACAGAATTAATACTAGCAATCACTGATTTCGTAAATCCGCTTTGTGTTCTTGTGTGGAAACATTTAGATTCTTTTCGAACTAAACATAGTTCACACAGTATCACACACTAGTTTACATGACAGTTTAGTGCGGGTCCACAACGCTATTAGCTAGTTTGTCTATTTCGCCTAAAACATTTTACCGAAACTTAACACACTGTTCCTTCAGCGCCTCCATCATCAGTAAGAAGAGTTTCAAAAACATCTAGACTTATCATTCTTCTTCAATATCCATCTCATGGTCAGTGTATGATGTAGGTAAACGTAGTGTGAAGTACTCATCAACCAACACGCAATCGGACACAATCGGACTAAACTATGGATAGAGAACACAGGTTGCTAAATGTTGAATGAGCCTTTTTTCTATCTACGCTACGAATTCATCAATAACCAACCTGTTAATACTAATCTAATTCTCCATATTAGTAAAGTGGCCAACACATTCAACCAATTCACTTTATTTTCAAATTTTTTCTGTGTAAACCAGTCTTTCGATGACACCTTAGGGGTGTTAAATGTACATCGAATATTTGCATATTTTCACTTGAGAAATTAGTGCGATTTGTTAGTGTTTTAATTTAACCCCATATATGTGTACTGTAGGTAGACTAAAGGATATAAATCCTTGGGAGTAGTAAACATAGTTACTTCCATAACTATATTTGCGAATAAGTAGGATAATGGTCCTGACAGTGGGCATCTTCGATGATCACCAATGATTGTCATTAGGTCTATGAAACCTTAGGCGACTGTGTGAAATAGAGGAGACAGTCTTCATTAATAGTGTATACGTTTCGAACAACCTTCAGAATAGGCCATCGTCATAGAATCCATTGATCAACAGAGCTAAATACCATCTTCAAGTCAATGAATATGCCCAATACATGATAATGGTGTGAAGAACAGTGTCAAATATGCAGAAAAAGTGGAATACAATAAGAGTAGAATGTACTGACTTGTTCTTCTCTCATATCCAATTACATGTAGCCGAAGTTTCCCTACTAAATACTAGGATTTCTTTATTTTTCAGTGATTTTGGAGTTCAAGAAGTAAGAAAACCCGGAGAATAAAACAAACTAGATGATATACTGTTATCCGATCTAAATTTTCAATAAATCTTATGAATATATTGATTATTTTAAAGCTTATAATTTTATGAGCCCTGAACCATCAGCATCCTTATCCTGAACTATATATCTTTTCCATCACACCAGTACCTTTTGGGGGTTTCTTTTTCTTAGCGCTGAATTGTGATTGAGCAAAAAGATGAGTACTGCTGGATATGGCTGGCAAAAGTCAATGTTCTGAATTTGCTAGGCTGGCAAAATGAGATGAATTAAAGAATTTTTGTTTTGAAGGGGCGAATAGTGTTAAATAAGTTGTACAAAAAAGAAGAGCGCATAGGTGTTTCCTTCTTGCTCCGAGAGACTAATTGCCGAAACATATTTTGAGGTAAATGTAAGGCATATCAGGACCGAGTGGTTTATGATAAATGCCAAACTACCAGCACTTCATAGTCCTTTAATTTTTGATGAAAAACATTTATTTCTGCCTATTATGCATTAAATGAATGATATATAGAAATAATAAGAGCCATTATCCAAAAACTCGAAAATTGAAACGCATTAGGTAACTAGTACAAAATATGCCTAATCTCAATATTACAAATAAAATGAAAATAAAATTATCGTAAGTTTACTCACTGAGTCTGTTATTTAGTTAGATGTAGTACGCAGAAAAAGAATAAAAGTAATCTCTTACAGACTACTACAGACTGTTTAAAGACTGAATGATATTTCAAAATAACAGATAGATAGATTCCATACTTACCTTCAACAAGTGATTGATGAAGTACACGTTTTGTGACGTTTAGGATACGAGTTACTCGATAATTTAAACTCTTGAAAACTCTCTCAATGCGATCAGCATCAATGTCTGTACCATCACGTCTTGTTTGATTAGTTGAAGGGTGGAAATCTCGTTGGTTGATAAGAATACATTCGCCACGATATGACCTTCCAGAACGATTAACGTTAACTGTTGGATAACTAAGGTAAGGATTGTGCAGATCTGCTGCGGATACCGTTAAGTAAGTGCCCTTATTAGCCATTACTTCAGTTGCCGGTTTTGAACTGCTATAAAAAGGAGGTATTACTGATACTTTTACGAACATACTACTAAGCTTAGTTAGCCATATATACATATTATCGTGTCATATGCATCAATATAACAGCAAAACTGTCATACTCAACCTAGTGCAACTCGCGTGATGCAGTTACAAAATGTTATCAAGTCTTCCAATATTATATCAGAATAATATAGCCTGTGATACAAGTGAACTGTACCGAAATGCATTCCTTTCAAACAGATAGGAATTTCTGATACTCCCATAAACGCAAAATAGGGAGAAGCATAAAAAAAGAGTACAAAATAATATTTCAGGTAACGGTCAGTCAATATCAATATGGAATCTCGTAAACCATTACCGCTTTAATGTAAAAGACAAGATGAAAGATAAAGAGATGTTTACAAGATGTGGTTAAAAGGCAAAACGAAGAGAGAATAAATGAAACAATGAAATATGAAGTAACAGATAAGACGAACTTAACCCGTCAAAGGTTTCATGGATGGGTATTATCTCTTGGTTTGGTCATCCCTAACATTTTAACGAATTAATCCTACTTCAGTTAACATGGCACTTTGAGGATAAATGGCGACGTGGTAGGCGTAGTACACTTTCAACTACAATATTTGATGAAAGTTTTTGACTTCATCAACTATCTAAAACTGTATACCTAATCTCTGTGTTGGTCACTTGGCGATTCCACGACATACAGCCAATATTAATAGAATTTCCAGTTTCCTCGAACTCTTCACTCTTGATGGCCATTTTTCACATACGTAATGAAGAATGAAGCAGATTTTTGCGTAGTACACTCGATCCTTGATCGATATTCGGGTGTACCTCTGACATGCAAGCTGGTAAACGTCAATCAAACTTCTTGTATCCATATTCACTGATATACATCAATGCTGTTTTGATTGTGCAGGTAAGTGACGTGGTCATCACACAAAAAATCACTCAATCTTATAGCTAGGAGCACCAAATCCAGATCAATCGTCAACAACATTTTACTAGTTTGATTACATTATTCCTTATTTCTCTATCTATTATATTGGTGTCTTTTATTTTGATGTGCTGATATGCGAAATGCCAACATGAACCGAAACGCAGTAAAGCTAGGTCCCACGTTGATACTGACTGAATTATCAAGCAACAGTTCACATTTCGGAAGTAAGAGCCGAATTCCAAACTAACTGCTATAAATATTCTCGACAAAAGAAACCAAATGTTGCCTTCAGTTAGTGTAAATCTGTCTTTCTTCTAGCATCCTGTCAATTTTCCCATTAATAGGCTTGAAACCTGCTTGATTTTCTTATTTCTGGTGTTTCTGTGTTCCGGACTAGTTGTCAGATGATTCCATGATGCAACTCAACCTACTGAAGATATCTGTGTTAGGTTTAGGATACTACCCCGTTACCTGGGACAGGGCTGGATTAGAACCCAAGAACCAGTGGTTGAAAGACAAGTCCAATACACCAAACCTGTACATATTTGTAGACTTTATAATCTAATAAACCGTGTTTATCAGACTGATTCTCTAATGGTCATTTCTCTCTATTCTCGAAGACTGAGATAACCCCTTATTGAAACTAGTACGACGGAATCATATTAGATTAGTACACGCCAAGCCATGAGTCAATCTAATTCATAAACGTCGGTCAACCTCTGGTGGAAGCTTATCAAGACCTGCTACACTCCTGGCTCTAAGTTACTTACAACCTTGTTTCACTATTCCATTCATGTTGCAACTGAGCGGAAAACAAAAAGATAGCCGCAGACCCATTGAGCTGTTCGTTGAAATGTCCTATCAATTGTTGCAATCGTCTCTCGAGGGACTGAATGAACTGAGAACAACTCATCTTGCTCCACTGTATTCTCGACAGTCGCAAACGTTTCACACCAGTTTTAACAGAACATTCAAATAACTATTTACTACCGTCACCCTGTCTTTCTCAACTCTTCTCTACCGACTACTATTCGGTCATGCAGCAGACTATTTGTTAGACCAAATGCAAGCTGCCTCCGCTCCTCCCGTGTTAAAAGTTTGCAGGAATGCGCTTACATATGTTTATTAATGCAGATGAAGTTGGTGAGATTTACGGACTCTTTTATTCTTTTTCTGAGGGTAAGACAAGTTCGGTATTCCCATAACAGACTACAGATAGTGACAAGCTTCTTAAGGATGCATAACGCTATCATATTATAATGATCATGTGGTCAGTTCTTTGAAACCACCCTTAGTGTTCTCATCACGGAGCCAAACTTGTAAAGATCTTACAAATGTTGCCTTTCTACGCTCATTTAAATGTAGATAAACACATGCCCAAAATAACATGAGCCTAAGCACGTAATCCAGAAGAAGAGTCAATCTTTAGCCAACCATCTCCAGCAATAAATAATGGCGATATAGCTTGTGTCTACTGCTGAATCGAAGTTGGTGTACGCCATATAAGACGACCTCTCACTTCATGTGTGAAATTCGATATAAACCAACGGTTTTCTGAGCGTGGACTGTAGCAGCTTATCGTCGTTATCAGTTGGAAAATTTAGGGGGTTCATTATTTAATCCCTCCTTTCTAGGTACTTTCCTATTTCACTATGACTTATTCATATCTACTTCCTCTTTGCGCGTTGCTGCAAAGTGTAAGAACTTGGACATAAATGTTTTTGTGAAAGATCCTACTTTAATTTGTCTGCCTGGTTGTTACATAAATTTCAACTTGTAAATTTTCGATACTCGTACCAATGGAACAGTTAGGCTCTGACACAGCTGTACAATGCAGTTCTCCTCTTTTACTCTACAAAGCTTCCTGTATAGCATGAGCTAAAGAAGCTATGTATTCTAACCATTAAAGTGGAATTATACATCTGTATATGACACTAGATAAAAAAACAGGAGAAATATTTACGAAACATAATTTTAATGACTGTCAGGGATTCTGATTGAAAAACTAAGGTTCAATGTGACTTAGTAGGGAGATAGGCTCACGTTAATTGGTAAGAAAACATTGGATGTTCACTGGTCTTTTACTCTAGATTACCTTCGCAGTTGGTTAGATTATATATTTATTTATATTGAGTTTTAGTGACCAGAAATAAGCAACAGTCTTATCTTTTATACGACATGTAAGTCAAGATACAATAAGATATAACTCAACCACATCATGTCATCTGATATTAATTTTGGCACATCAAACGATCAGTATTCTATTGGGTAGCAAAAGGTTAATCATAACACGACACTCTAAGTTTTCAATTCGCAGTTACACGGATGCGACTGCAATATAATTATCCTCGAATCACTGACATAAACTAGGTAATCATATAAACACTGTACTGAACATACTTTATCTGTTTGATGTGGTGTAGATATGCCACTAGTGAAGTTGTGGCTCATTGGTTTAGGCAGTTGGCTGACTTTCAACCAATGGGTCAGGGGTTTCAGCACCGCTTCGTTTACCGAATTTTGAGCAGCTAGGTAGAACCATTAGCCCCCAGACAATAGGTGTGGCTCACAACCCACTGCAAGAACGTGCACAAGAGTGAGCGCGTTCCGGTTTTTCGAGGTATACCATTAAGTTCTTAGGCAAAAAAGGGCAATCCTCAGCTGGATCCTAGTTGACAGTCGTCTCTCTGTGCTGTTCAACTGAATCGTGCAATGAGGACTTGAAAGAATAGTTAAAATCCCCATCGTCTCTATGTAATCTCCACCCATGCACTCTCTGACTGAAGTCCGGATGAAGTGGAGGGTTGAGTCCTGCCGAAAACTATCCAGCTTTCTACTTAAAGCCAAATGCTCAGGTGAGGTTATCCTAGTAGGCCATTTCATTGCCCAGTGGGTATAGTAAGTCTGACAGAAAGTAAATTATTTCAGTTTGGGGTTTTCGGGGGATTGATTGATATCACGAACCGATGTCAGCTGTAGAACCATTGAAAAACTGGGAAAAGTGGATAGTCGTTCTGTACTAGTATGGGACTCTTCAGCAATGCGGAACCACGGCCCTGCCAGGGGTCAAACCCAGGACCGCCGAGTCTAACGGCGAGCACGTTAACCATTTGGCCAAGGTTGGACTGCCTTGCCCCACATTTTCTAACCTATCAATTCGGGAAGTAGGGCTACCGTCATCATATTAGGTGGCACTTTCAGAAACCCAGACGAAAGAAAAGGTAACGGCAGTCTCATCCCACAGTTGTGCTCAGAGAAACATCTCTTGGCGAGGTTAAAACATGTAGTCAGTCCCTGGTCGTTTCTGATCAATATGAAGAGTGTAGGGAAAGCAAAAACTTCCGGGCGGCGTCTGTGCGACAGAAGAAGTTAGTGCTTACGTAAGCTCATTGGTGAAGATTTATCGATACATTATTTTCATCTTAATCGTTCAAACGGTACTTCATTGATGCATAAACTATCCTTGCCGTCAACGTTCGATTTTTACCCTCTTTGAATCACTTTCTGGCTTAAATCTCTCCTGTAATCTTGCTGCATCCCGGTTTGATGCCCTGATAGTTAGTTTTATGCAGTAACTGTAGACTCCATGTTAATGCTGACTGGTTGATCTGGTTCAGGAGAATCAATCAATATCAACAAAGGACGAGGCATTACTGCGGAACGGTCCGAGTTGCCACACCTCATCTCATATCAGTACATCAAGTAAAAAGGCAGTGAGGCGCAAGGTGAAGATAACAAAATTCAGTCTAAAGAAACATAAAATATGAAAAGAGAGAAACGAAGAATGAGAAAGTGGTGAGATTCGGTACAGCGTCGTTAAGATGAGGATAATGTATGTATATACATCTGCGCCACTGACATCGGTTCTGAGCCATATCACCTAGAGTCTCCAACCACTGGTTCCTCTTGTCCCGTGGACCCCAACCACCTAGTCTACATCACCCCACGTGGCTCAAACCTACAGTCAGAGACTTCATACATTAGTGCCATGTTTTAGTCTGGCCACCTCGGGCCTTTTTCCAGCCTGGATCTACTTCAGCCAACATTGTGTGACGAGACAATCG